GAACTAGAACTGAACTAGAACTGAACTAGAACTGAACTAGACTGAACTAGAACTGAACTAGAACTGAACTAGAACTGAACTAGAACTGAACTAGAACTGAACTAGAACTGAACTAGAACTGAACTAGAACTGAACTAGAACTGAACTAGAACTGAACTAGAACTGAACTAGAACTGAACTAGAACTGACTAGAACTGAACTAGAACTGAACTAGAACTAGAAGACTAGAACTGAACTAGAACTGAACTAGAACTGAACTAGACTTACTAGAACTGAACTAGAACTAGAACTGAACTAGAACTGAACTAGAACTGAACTAGAACTGAACTAGAATGAACTAGAACTGAAACTAGAACTGAACTAGAACTGAACTAGAACTGAACTAGAACTGAACTAGAACTGAACTAGAACTGAACTAGAACTGAACTAGAACTGAACTAGAACTGAACTAGAACTGAACTAGAACTGAACTAGAACTGAACTAGAACTAAAACCAAACTAAAACTGAAATAGAACTGTTATGTAGTTTAAAGACTAGTCTATGTACTGGACTGCGAAATAGTCTATTAGCCAGCTTGTTGACTGGTTTATAGAATAGTTTGTTAACTTTTTCTTGTTGGCTAGTATGTCGACTAGTCTATAATGTAGTCTATGCAATAGCCTATTGACTAATAGTTTGACCAGTTTATGAACTAGTTTTGACCTATGTGAATAACTTCTCTATGGACTATAGTCTATAAATTATTCTATTGAATAATATATGAACTAATTAATTTACTTCTCTATAGGTTTTTAATGGACTAGCTTATACTATAGTGTATTGGAGAAATATTTATATGGATTAGCTTGAAGACTGATGTACTAAGTACTAAAAACATAGATAAGTAAAGAGCTTTCCTTCTTAGCAACACTAAAACTTCAATAATACACAAAATGTTGTCCTGGCAACATTAAACCAAAATATTTGACACAATTCCCTAAAAAAAACTTCCAAGAGTTTAACAACTTTAAGACAATCCACACCCTCAAACACGTCATCTCAATAACAGTTTACACTAATCTATCATGTGATCTACCTAAACCAATCATATACATTCTTTTGCTCATTTCCATATGTACAAATATTTCTTTATCTATTTATTGGTCAGTTCTGTTTTTGGGTTTTTTTTTTGGCAACAAATTTTTATATACTTTTCGTGATCAAATTAGCTAAATGTTTCCATCCACAGGCTAGAAAATTGTTCATTTCTTTTTTTAAGCATATGTATAAAAACAAGAATTTTTATAACTTTATCTAACCTCTATAGTAAGGTATATTTATTTAAATATTTTATTTTTTTGTTTGATATTTGGCAGACGTTGGTAGTGGGTGCATCAAATTACATGTTTGGCGTAAATTTGAGGTTTTATTTTTGTTAGTTTTTTAGGCATACAAATTTATTTAATGTTCATTAAATATAATTTTTATATAAATTTGTTTAGTTTATTCGATAGTTGTAACCATAAAGATGTCTTCTTATATGAATAAAAAAAAAAAAAATAAACTTAGTTATAGTAATTTATACAAATAATGTGGGGGATTTGGTAAATAAACAAACATTTAGCGGAAAACTAATAATCATAGCAGTGTTTGAGGTTTGGAGAAGATATAGAGTAGCAGTATGGAAATTTAAAAGGTATTTAGAAAATTCATGGAAGTATGAAAAATTTTTATATTTTAGTATTAAAATATTTAACTTTGTTTTCTTTTGTTTTTATTTAAAATGATTTCTAACTTTTGTTTTGTTTATTATTATCTTAATAAGTTTTCTTATCCTAAAAACATTTATAAAACAATTTGTTTTTATTTTTGCTCATTGATAACTAACAAAACAATACCACTTTAGGTATTTTGTATAGAGAAAAAAAACAAAAGACTTAAGCAGCATACTTACTGTCTTATAAACAGCAAGCTGAAATTAAATAAAAACCATACAGATTGTCATATTAAAAACTATAAATAGCTGGGCTGGTTTTGTCTAGTTATTTGTCTAAACTAATTTCTATAGAAAAAAATATGATATTATTTTATTTGTTTTTTTTTTTAATAATTTTTTTTTTGCCCACACATACAAATGAATAAGAATTGGTTTGAAAATGAATGAAATTTTTAAATCCCTATGGTGACATTTCAATTTGTTTTCGAAATAAGGAAATGTAAACAATGAATAGTGTGCTTCAAAACAAAAGACTTAAGCAGCAAACTTTTATTTAATATTTGTTTTCAAAACAAAAGAAAGCTTTAGTTAACTGTAATTTAAAGAATTTTATAAATTAATATTGTTATGTTTTAAATAATTTATTAAAATAAGTTTAAAAAACACACAATGTACAGATGTACAAAAACTATGATATGTCGGTCATGATAGTCAATATTTTTTTTTTTCACCAATCAATATATTATTGCCTCGGTTCCTTAAAATTTGATATTTAATCAGCTTTGTATAAGTAATAGTTAGTTAGTTGGTTAGTTTGAAAGGAGGATGTACATATATGTATACATCAAATCCAAAGAATTAAACCTAGGCCTCTATCGGGCCTATTGTGCGCTCCTTAACCAGTGTCTCAGGTGGAAATCGAACACACCACCTCCGGTCTACCAGACTAGAACACTAACCACTAACCTACCGGAGGCCACAGCTTTGTATATTAAAATGTATAAAAAAAAACAAAATAATGAAAATTGTGCTTCAAAACAAAAGATTTAAGCAGCAAACTTTTACAACATAATTGCTTTCAAAACAAATAAATATTGAAAGAGTTTGAGTTTCAATATTTGTTGTGGGTAAAACCACAAAGATGTTATGAGAAGGGTAATATAATCCCTATTAGAAGGAGCAAGTCCGGTCTTAGTTTGTAATATAAGTGGGCAAAAAGGGATTACGTGCTTTTTTATAGAACATATGATGAACTGATTCAAACGAATGTCGAGCCTGTGGAGAGAACTGTGAAAATCTGAAGTCTTCCTTTGTCTTAACATACTTTTTGGCACGAATAAAACATCCCTCAGGACAAAACAAAAACTATGATATGTCAGTCATGATAGTCAATATTTTTTTTTTCACCAATCAATATATTATTGCCTCGGTTCCTTAAAATTTGATATTTAATCAGCTTTGTATAAGTATTAGTTAGTTAGTTGGTTAGTTTGAAAGGAGGATGTACATATATGTATACATCAAATCCAAAGAATTAAACCTAGGCCTCTATCGGGCCTATTGTGCGCTCCTTAACCAGTGTCTCAGGTGGAAATCGAACACACCACCTCCGGTCTACCAGACTAGAACACTAACCACTAACCTACCGGAGGCAACAGCTTTGTATATTAAAATGTATAAAAAAAAACAAAATAATGAAAATTGTGCTTCAAAACAAAAGACTTAAGCAGCAAACTTTTACAACATAATGCTTTCAAAACAAACAAATATTGAAAGAGTTTAAGTTTCAATATTTGTTGTGGGTAAAACCACAAAGATGTTATGAGAAGGGTAATATAATCCCTATTAGAAGGAGCAAGTCCGGTCTTAGTTTGTAATATAAGTGGGCAAAAAGGGATTACGTGCTTTTTTATAGAACATATGATGAACTGATTCAAACGAATGTCGAGCCTGTGGAGAGAACTGTGAAAATCTGAAGTCTTCCTTTGTCTTAACATACTTTTTGGCACGAATAAAACATCCCTCAGGAACAAAACAAAAGACTTAAGCAGCAAACTTTTATTTAAAATTTCTGTTTGAAATCCTTTATAAATAAGTCGACTAGGTTTCACAAATTTTGATCATTTGGGACTGAGAATTGTCCAAGGAACAAAGTATTCTCTAGTTTATTTGGTTGGTTGGTCAAGAGACTCCGTTTTGACTGGACCACTCCACTCGTCAGATATAGTACATTACAGTTTTAGATCCAGCCTTTAGCAGTGAGAAACCTTAGGATATTATTAAGCTTAGATCCAGATATCTCTCCAAGGTTCGATATGAAGTAGCTGATACTACTCTTGATAAAACCTAACAGGGTTGCTACTGGAACGGTGTTGGAGATATCAAGAGCAGATCCCGTTATGCCCGTTCATTTCAATAATAGTGCCTCTAGTTTATTTATCAGTGAAAGGGGGCAGATTATTAAGTAGAGCTGTAATTACTCTCATTTGTGTTATTATAATATTAAGCGGTTTCTATAAAACCTTTTCTTTTCTACTATTTCGGTAATATCAAAAGATGTTTTCACTCAAGAGCTTAATTTCAATACAGTTTTGTAATTAATTTTCATAAATAGCAATTTACTGAAAACATATTTTTCAACAAAATATTCCAATTAAGAAAATTCTCAGCATATTTCTTTTTTTTTTTTTGAAATCATCTTATATTCGTTGAAAATCCAAAAGTGTTATAACCATATTTGATTAATTATGAAATATTAAAATTGCTTTTAAATTAACATATTTTTTGCGCAGAATATATAAGTGAAATCATTTATTAAATTCACACAACTATGGCTAATATAACAACGATTAATTAAAAAAAAAAAGATCTCAAGAAAAAATAAAAAAAAAACTATATAAATCGAATCGAAAACACTTAGCAAACATTTACGTCAAACTTATGTTGGAAACAAGTTCTATTATGATCGAATGTTTATGTCTCAAGATAGAGAAGATAGATAACAAATTATAATCATTAAAATAAAAACGAAGAAAGCTAAATCATTAATAATACTAAGTATATACATAAACACAAACATACAAATATATATGTATTTAAAACAAAAAAAAAAAAACAACCGCTAAATACGCTAATTTTGTTTTATTGATTTAGTTAAAGAAATTAGATTAACATTTTTACGAGCCATCTACAGCTAACATATCGACTCTAGAGAAGAACTAAATACAATTAAAATCAGTAGGAAATAACAAGATGACATAAGTTTTGACAATTAAGAACATTTTTAAAGACAATTTTACTTACTTGTTTTAAGGTGTTTTAATATTAAGAGGCGTTTTCTAATTTCAGTATAAATTTGTCCAAATTAATTTTAGTTGCTTGTACGGCAGCATAATTAATGAGCGTGTTGTTGTTGTTGCTGCTGCTGCTGCAATGGACACAAATAAATGTTTTAATTAATAAAAAAATATAAATTTTCTATAAATATTTTAATTTTTCTTTTTTTTTTCGAATATTCTTATAACTTAATAAATAATACATAATGCGGCAGTTTTAAATCTTATCGCCCCTTATCAAGGTTCAAATCAAGCTCGTGTTAAATTTATGTCTTCTTAAATTATTATTTCAACTAATTTATTGTTGAAAGATGCTCGAAAAAAGAGATAATCTTTGAGTTGGGTGTTTTTTAAGGTGGTGGAATGTATTAAACATAAATTAAGTTATTAAATTATGAGAAGAGTTTAAAGCTCAAGGTTATTTGAGGTCAAATCTGAATGCTGCTGAATACAATTATGCTGAAAATTATAGTTTATTATTTGGGTTAAAAATATCGGTGTTTTAGATGTGTTTTTAACTGTTAAAGAGGAAATTAATTTATATATGCAGCAATAGACTAATCTATAAATAACTCCATAGACTAGTCATTTATTAGTCAATTCACTAGTCCACAAACTAGCCAATTGACTACTTAATAGAGTTGCCCATAGAATAGTCAATCGAGTAGTCCATAAACAAGTCAAAGGACAGACAGACTATTCAATAGCTAGACTAATCCTTAGACTAGTAAACAGATTAGTCCATAAAGTCCACGGACTGATTAATATACTACCCAATAGGTCGATAGACTATTTCATAGATTAATGAATAGACTATTCAGTATAGTATTCCGTAGACTAGCTAGTAGATAATCTATAGACAAGAGACTAGTCTACAGAATATTCAATAGACTAATCCATAGTCAATAGTGTATATATTAGTTAATATATTAGACTACTAGAATAGACTACTCAGTAGATAAGTCAAAAGAATACTCCTTAGACTAGTCCATAAACTAGTCAATAGGCTATAGACTATGCAATAGACTAGTCCATGGACTACTTAATGTAATAGTAAATATAGCAGTATATAGTACATATTAGTTAATAGATTAGACTACTAGAATAGACTACTCAGTAGATAAGTCAAAAGAATACTAGTCCATGGACTACTTAATATAATAGTCCATATTGCAATCACTACACTAGTCATTATAATAGTCCACATAGTGTAGTCAATAGTGTATAGTCAAGAGATTAGACTACTAGAATAGACTATTCCGTAGATAAGCCAATAAAATACTCCATAGACTAGTCCATAGAAAAGTCAATAGACTATGCTATAGACTAGTCCATGGACTAGTCATTATAATAGTCCACAGACCAGAGATACAAGCCGATGCGAAATGATCGGCGGCGGCTTATTACAGAAAATATCGGCGGCTGCTAAATTGTCGGCTCAATTTAACTTTTTCTTTAGAAATTGACCTTATAAGGTTTATTATATTGAAAAATCTTTGTAAAATAGTCTGTTACATAGAAACCTGTCTCTATATAAGTTTTTTTCTGCAGAAAATGGACATTTATAGTAGTTTTCACTATTTTAATATTAGCACAATATTGCGTGGCAACTCTTTTCAATTTGCCATAAGAATTTAAAATAGTGGCAACTCCGTTCAATTTGGTGAAATTATGTTCTGAAATACATGTGTGATTCTAATCTTTATCAGCGGCTACGTTTAAGCCGGCTTAGCTTTTGAGCCGAAAGAATTCGGCGGCGGCGCGGCTTGCAAAATATTACCGGCGGCCAGCCGCCGCCGATTTGAGCCGTCTCGGCTTGTATCTCTGCCACAGACTACTCAGTAGACTATTTCATGGACTAGTCAATAGTTTAGTACATTATATTATAATAGTCCGTAGATAAGAATAGAATACTTCATAGATTAGTCCATAAACTAGTCAATAGACTAGTCCATAGTAGACTATTCCATGGACTAGTCAATAGTTAGTACACAGACTATTCAATAGGCTAGTTCGATGAGCAGTCAATAGACTAGTCCATATATTGGTCAATTGAATAGTCAATACACGAGTCATAAGACTAGTCATTAGTGCAGTCAATACACTAGTACACATACTAGTCAATACACTAGACCACTGACTAGTCAATAGACAAATCAATGGAGTAGTAATGGACTGGTTAATAGACTACTCCATAAACTAGCCAAAAGGCTAGTCAATCCTTAAGCCGATAGACTAATCAATATACCATAGACTTATCGATAGATTCCATAGACTGTTCAATAGATCAATTCAAGAACTGGTTAGTATTACAGTCTATAGACTTGTTCATGTATTAGTCAATAGACACAGCCCTACATTGGACAATTGACTATTGACTAGACTAGACAAGCCAAGACTACATAGACTAGCCAATGCACTAGTTCATATGCTATTCCGAAGCCAATAGTTATTCATAAGCAGTCAATAGACTAGTCCATATATTGGTCAATTGAATAGTCAATACACGAGTCATAAGACTAGTCATTAGTGCAGTCAATACACACACTGGTCAATACACTAGATTCTTAGGCTAATTCATAAACCATATAACAGACAAGTCCACTGATTAGTCAATAGACAATTCAATGGAGTAGTAATAGTAATAGACTACTGCATGGACTAGCCAAAAGGCTAGTCAATCCTTAAGTCGATAGTATAATCAATATACAGTAGACTTATCGATAGATTCCACAGACTATTCAATAGATCAATTCAAGAACTGGTCAGTATTACAGTCTATAGACTTGTTCATGTGTTAGTCAATAGACACAGCCATACATTGGAAAATTGACTAGTCAATAGACAAGCCAAAAGACTACATAGGCTAGCAAATACACTAGTTCATATGCTATTCCACAGATTAGTTAATAGCATAGTCCATAGACTAGTTCATAGATGAGTCTATAGACAAGTCAATAGACTACACCATAAACTATTGAACAGTCCATAGACTAGACCATAATCTATTTATTAGTCCAAAGAATAGACCTACAATTATTGACTGTCAATAATCTACTCATGGATTAGTCAAAAGGCCAGTCAATGCATAGGTCGATAGGCTAATCAATATACCGTAGGCTAATCAATAGGTTCTACAAACTATTCAATAGACTAGTCAATAGATCAATCCAAGATCTGATCAGTACTCAAGTCTATAAACACTGATTGGTTAATAGCATAAGTCCATAAGTCCATAGACTAGACCATTATCTGATGATTAGTCTATAGAATTGATCAAAACCTATTAACTCTATAGACTAGTCTATAAACTGTTGACTAGTCCATACATTAGTTAATTGACTAGACCATAGACTAGGAAATAGACCATAGATTAACGAGGACACACTAAATTAAAGACTGCAGGACAGAGATCCTTAAATCGTCTCAAAAGTGACTAATCAGATGGGTTTTCTTTTTTTTTGTTAGTGCTACATATACCAGCATAAAAAACCCCAAGAAAAAATTATAATATCAGAAATTACAAGAAATTTACCCCAATTGACCTTAATATACAACTGACTTAATTTTATGGTCCTCTTTATATCAGCTAAAAGTCTGTTTGAACTTATAACAAGTAAATTTGTGCAAACTTCTACTATTACCAACATCATCAACACCACCTCCCTCTCCATAGGGGGGGAGATCTGTGATGTTGAAGTGTAATGTCTTCAACTTTTTACAGAGCACCATCAATTTTTCCGACAAAGCATCTTTGCTGGTTGTTTTATTTTCTTATAATTTTTTGACATGCATTAATAAAGCCGCCAACATTCCAAACATCTTACATATAAAACATAAGATGACTATAAAATGCTCAAATACACACACTCATACACATAGTTACACATACATATGTTTGTATATAAAGTTTTTATTAAACTTTTTTTTTCGTATTTCTTCAACTGCCATTAAGACAGAATGAGGTCAATAAATGTGTGAGAGTGTAACAGACATTAAAACAACTACAACATTTCTACATATTTAGTTGTTACAAATGAACAAAATGCAACAGCAACTATAAAAATTGGAAAAAAATTAAAGAGAGAAAAAAAAAAAATTATTGAAAAATAATTCAAGTAGCTTAAAATATAAAATTGTACATGACTTTTGCTTAAAAACTAACTGCAAAACTGTATTTTTTAAACTGAATGTCTAAAACTATGTATGTTTGTAATTTATTTCATTCATCTATGCGTAGTAATCTCGTAAAATTAAAAAAATAAAGTTTCATTTAGCTTTTTTCTTACATAGATGATCTGTTAGTGATAATTCTAAAATATTTTTATGATTTTTTTCAAATTTAAGGAAAAACAAACCGCCAGTTTTGTTAAGCTGTTTATTAAAAGCTGTCATAACTATTAATGGATTTGAAAATAAAGATTACAAATGTCTTGTCGTATTAGTTGCACACACACACACTTACATAAGATCAGTCTATATAGAAATGTTTACAAATAAATGAATGAATGTTTTTTTAAGGAAATCTTGAGAATCTTGAAATTATGAATTAGACAGGTGTATGTATAGAAGTGTGTTAGAAAATGGTTATCTATATTTGAGATATACCACTATTTAAGTTGAATTTATGTTATGCTAAGATGATGAATTAATGGAGAGAAAAAAATTTTATTTTAAAATTTATAAACAGCTTCTATTTTAACGCTTTAAAAATAAAATCTGGGGTTATATAATGTTTATAAATCCCACTAAAAAATATTTTGGAATATACTGAATAATTCAAATTTGTTTATTGTTGGTAAACAAATTTGCAAATCTCAATTTTGTTTACAGATAATGTTTTTCTAAAACCCTTTATATATATTCATGCCAACATCACCGATAGAACTAATAAGTAGACAAGATCCTTCCCTCACGCGGCTATAAGTCATAAGGGAATGTTCCGAATGGAAGAAGTAAAAATCGATCACAGTCACGATGCGTGTTGCAATATGATCGTAACAGTACGATAAAACTAGAATATAAATTAAACTATAGACTAGACTAGGACTAGACCATAGATTAAACTAT